TATTTATATTAATAGTTTTGGCCAATCGTGAATATATGCGTCACTCGTCGTGAAAGTGTCAAGATTAATTTTAAAACATCAGAATATCAGACATTTTGTTTATTTTATTGCAGACAATTATTTGGATATTTAAAAAAGCGTATTGCAGTGTTGAACAACATTTCGAACGTACAATAATTGATCATTTTATTTCAATTTGTTATAGTAGCGAAAGTGAGAGGTAGTGCCAGTAGTAATGGAGCGTGCATGGTCAGACATCGTACATCTTGATAGAAGTCTTAGAAAATTCTACCAAGGAATGAGATTTAGATCGAAATTGAAATTGCGAGGGACTTTTTATTAGTTCCTTGCATTAAATTGAAAAATGTGGAAATTATTAAAAATGACTTTAATAGTGAACACGCAAGAGAATTCACGGACCAAAATCAAAAGAGAAATGAAGAAATGAATATTTTATGTCTAGAAACACACAGAGTGAAATAAATTGATTAGCTACAATCAATTGTTTATACTGTATATGTTCATTTTTTCATTCTTTAATTTAATAAGCCCACTTTCTCCAAGGCAAAACTGCAAAACTACAAAATTACCTTTTTCTGGTTTCTTAAAAAACGTACGAAATAACTATAAGTTACTAAAACACGCTGTGATATTTCTCTTGAAAAAAAGCAAAAGGGAATGCTCATTTTTTTCATTCGTTAATTCCATAAGCCCACTTTCTCTAAGGCAAAACTGCAAAACTACAAAATTACCTTTTCTGCTTTCTCAAAAAATGTGTAATTAAAACGAAATGACTATAAGTTACTAGAACACGCTGTGATATTTCTTTTGGAAAAAAAGAGACAGTTTTTTACTAAAAGGGAATGTTCATTTTTCTCATTCTTTAATTTCATAAGCCCACTTTCTCCAAGGCAAAACTGCGAAACTACAAAATTACCTTTTCTGCTTTCTCAAAAAAACGTATAATTAAGACGAAATGACTATAGGTTACTAAAACACGCTGTGATATTTCTCTTGGAAAAAAAGAGACAGTTTTTTTTACAAATAACCAATCAAAAGAATTTCACGAGACCTACGTCGCCATTGACTTTCCTGGGGATTTTTTTTTTTTAAATTCTCCAGTCTCGCGCGTTTCGCGCACACGAGAGCCATGAAAGCCACGAAACGGAGCACTCGAGGTGGAAAGTGAGGCACGGTTTCTCTTTTCCCAGGTGCGGATGATCGCATTGAAACTTAAGAGGCACGCATCCGTGAAAACGTGACCCATAAAGCTAACCTTTTATCCGATCCTACCCCCATGGGGGGTGGTGGGTAGTTCGGTTTGCGTTCGACGCACACGGAGAGAAACCGGCGAAACCAATAATTCCAGCTTAATGTCTCGTGAAAAAACAAAACAGAGAACCGCGTCTGCTTCTCTCGTCCCCGTTGGGGACTCGTACGATATACAGGGTGTTCCAGTTTCTGCACAATCATCCCGAAAATGAGGAGAAACGAGGAAGAAAGAGTAAGATTCTTTCCATTTGAGAGTTCGTTTCTGAGAAAATCGGTTTTTGCATATTTTTCAAGTAATAAAATGGACGTCAATAATTTTATCAAACTAAGAGGCAGAAGAAATACTTTATTTTTTATTTTTACATTTAATTTCTTCGTATAATTTCTGTAATTATATTAGACGCGGAATTTAATAATTAAATCTCAGTAACATTGGATTTCAAGTGACAATAAATTTCATCCTCTTGCAATCGATAATTTTTAAAGTCGAGCTGTACTAAGTGGTATTTAGATTTCTCTGTATGATCTCCATAATGAATTCTATGGAAGCAGAATTCTTCAGAATTCGCATTGTTACCAGCACGTGTTCATTTTATCCCGATATGACACAGTGCTCGTTCTGGACAGTAAAATATTTCACGTGCAAGATATTAGCGAAACAAGAGAAAAGAAAAGACAGATATACAGAATAAAATTTCCAGGGGTATGGATTTTTATTGTACTTCAGTGAAAGAACTGCCTTGGTGCCACCGGTTTTACTTGATAAATTTTAAAATTTAATTTTCCCGGGAACGGGCCCCGTCGCGCGAGAAAATTTTATTCTACATCTTCGACCTATTTTCCTAAAAATTCCCGATTGTACCACGAAATCTGCTGCACCCTGTATTTCAAGTTTTCCTCCCGCTTCTCCCTTTGCATGCGTGTTTTCCGCTCGCTCTTCATCGTTCATTTTTTTTCCCTCTCCGCGTGCTTTTCCATTTGTTTCTCTATTTCTTTGTTTTTTATCAACGTTTTTTGACGAAACACAGTAAGACTCGCAGGCGATATGGAACAGAGGAGAAGCAATTAAATCGAATTACTCGACCACTCGTCACAGACAGTGTTTCTCTACAATTCTTTTTTTCCCCTCCACGAAAGTGGCTCTGTGCGCGAATACACCCAGTCTCCCCTTCCTTTCGTTTATCATCAAATAGAATAACTCGCGAAATGAAATCGAGATAAATTCTAGCGATAAACGTTTTCCTCTTCCTCTTTTTTTTTTTTTTAGGAAGGAGAGGGGAGAGTTTTAAATTCGTTTCGATTCTTCGCCGGGCTGGAAAGAGAAATGATCGGTCACCGGATTTAATGAATTCGTATTAATGTACGCTTACCGGGCTGTTTATGGTTATTTGTAATCGTTCGATTAAACGGAAATGTATCCGTGTTTTCCACGCCGCTGGACATTTATACGCGGGCAAGGTAGTAATTCGGAAAATGAATGTATTTCAGTATATTTTGCATTTCGTTGCTTTCGTATTTTTACAGCGCTTTATAGAAGAGAGAATTGAATATTGCCGGAGCGGTTGAATTTACGTACGTGAAGAGTGTTTGCCAGTTCTTTCACAGTTGAGAGTAATTTATCGAAGATCGGAGAATCGATATTTTGTGATTGTTAAATTTTCGTTTTGCCGAACATTTCAGCTTATAATAATCGAAGAGAAGAATATATTCGTAATTATAAAATGTTAACATCCCGTTTTTTAAATTTGAATCTCGTTTTTAATTCAATCTCGTGTTATATTTTCACTTGGATTCAAATGGAAGGAAAGTTTCGTATTAGACTTAGTTTTAATCAAGTATTTAAGCTTTCTAATTCATTGAAACATATCAAAAATTTTTTAAGTTATATATTTAATATATTTATTATATTTAAGTTATGGCGATGAAAAACAGTCTATATTGAATATTTAGCTTTGTAAAATTACTGTCCACCCCTCCCATTTAATTCTTCGAATGTTCTTTTGTTCGCTGTAAAATATTCAACTAAATTGACATCTTTTTTTCTCAAATATTTAACTAATACATGTAACACAAATTAAAAATTTTTTTTCTTAAGTAACGAGAACTTCTCCAACAGACTCGCGTGAGAAAGAAAGAAATTTCGTCGACTTTTTAAAACTAAAAAAAAAAAAAAAAAAAAGTAATTCTCCAGTTGCTCCAGTTTCTCCATCTTTTTCCGACCGTCGTTTTTCGCGTTATTCTTTTTCGGTTAGAAAATTCACCTGTCAACTTCGTGATTTTCATCTTTCACCAAAAAGACGAGAGAGAGAGAGAGAGAGAGAGAGAGAGAGAGAGAGAGAGAAAGAAAGAAGAAAAGAAAAGAAAAAGAGAAACAGGGCAAAAAAATGTTCCAAGTTTCACTCGGAATATAAATTAATTAAAACTCTCGTTTCTCCTTTCTGGCAATTTAGCAGCGAGCAGCAGCGAATTTCTTTCAGCTCGCAGCGAGAAAACGAGGGAGATAGAATTTTAAATTAATGGTAATGGTCCGGGTAAAAATGATGGAAATTTCGGAGACCCAGGGAAATGCGGCGTCATGTTCGATATCTATAATTTATTTATGTACGAGAACGACGCGCGGTATAATTCACGGCGTTTGGAAACATATGCGAGGAACAGTTGGGTTTTTTTAACAAAGACTTTCTCAGTCGAAAGGTTCGTTTCGTCAATGTTTGTTGAAAGATGATAAATCAACAATGAGCTTAATGCATAGACACTTCAACGATGATAACATGATCATCAATTATAAAATAATCACGTCGCAAAGAAAGAAGAAAATATCATAACTGTATAAATGACAGATAGATTATTTGTCGTGTTAAACGTCTTATTTGAAAAAGACGAGCAATAAGAATGTTGATGATGTACAAGGAACCTGTGATTTTATAAACTATCGCATATATTGCAGCGTGCATAAAAAGGGGATATAATTATTTCAAACGACAGGTAATTTGAACGATATTAAATAAATAACGCGGGGATAATAATTAGAACCTCTTTAATATGCCCCTTCAATTTCCATATTAATATCTCGATTAATTTCGAGTGTAAATAATGGATTTGTTTAAATTAAAACGTTGCACGAGGCGAAAGCACCATAAAGTGTTGGTGAAATATATTAAATGAATATCTAGCGACGATATTAAGTTCCAAGATGATGTAAATAGTATATAAAGACTGATATACACTCTTGCCTAAAGCTCTGGTTCTTTGGGGCGAAACACAGAAATGAGAATATTACGATCATAACCTCGATCTAAATTTCAATTTTTACTCTTTCGATTGAATGAAATTAAAATCAGAACGATCAATTTTTAGGATGAAATTAATTTTGGGATAAAAATGTTCAATTTTAAATTATTGTTCGTTTAAGTGCAATTAATCAAAGTTCCAAGTACGATAAGAGAAGATGACATTGCAAATTATCATCTCGATCTAAATTTCAATCCTTACTCTTTCGATTAATTAAAATTAAAATTAAAAACGTGAAGCAAAAAAGTGAAAGTGAATTTGGAAATTAAAGTGAAGCAAATTTGGAACAGAAATTTTCAATTTTACAAATATTCCAAAATTATTTGTCACAGATATTCCAACTTTATCTACTCGAGAATGTAATTATATCTCTTTCACAAATTTAGCACGGTCTAAATTTTTGAGCGAGAAACGAAATGAAAGTGGCGAACACTCACTTGGACTCGTCCTGATCCTCGTCGTCGTCTTCGGAATCGAAGAAAGCGTCGTCGTCCTCCGATGTCTCTGTTCTCATTCGTCGGTTCTGCTGAACCGCCCGGGATTTCGGGATCACGATATCTCTGAAAAAAGAAAGAAAAGAAAGAACAGAGTAAGTAGAGTAGCTCCGTGTTCGAGCTGACACGACGAATCAATTTTCGAAGTCGACGTGCTTCTTCTGCCAAATTTTTCGCCACTGAAGATCACCGCGTCTTGCGCATTTGAAAATTAATTCAAATTCAAATCGGAATTATACTAACTTTAGCATAATGAAGGATTGATAAAATGCTAAATGTACTGCTACATTCACCGTGGAAATTAATTACACAAATTCATTACAAATTCATCTCATGAATTGTAAAACGTCACTAGTAAAATTCATTACGTACCAAAATATATTAATGCGTGTAATCAAAATGCGAATCATTAAATTTATATATATACTGGCGACACTGCATTCAGTCAATTTCTGTGTGTAACGTCTTTTGCGGTAGGTGAAATGTTTTATCTAATTATTTGAAATTTTCCTGTGACTGACAAGTCATCCGAATAAAAGTGTGTAAAAAGCAAATTGAATATTACGAAGATTCAATAAGATAAGAAAAGAAAAAAAAAAAGAGAACCGTTGGAACATCTCCGAGGCGAAAGAGGGTCGGCGAATTTAAAAAATTTAAGCAGATCCACCGGTGTCAAGATGCCGGAGTCGCACTTGGAATGGAATAAGTTAAAAGCGATTTCCCTGGCTACGGGAGGAGAGTGGAACGCTTTCGAATATAATTTCCCGCCAGCAGCCGAGGAGAATGGAGTGCAAAACGAGGAAGAAGAGAGAGAGAGAGAGAGAGAAGTGGTAAATTTTCCTAGGGAGGCCAGGCGAAAAAAATTTCTATCGTCGATAACGACGTGGAGTTTGCACGGTTCAATGGAATATTTTTACTCGCAACGTGTTTCACGCGCGTTTACGCGTGAACTTGTCGATCTGTTTCACTGCAGCGTGCGAGTGTCGTCAGCGAAATGTAATATACGAAGCGAGGGTAGAAAAAGATCAGGTAATCAGAAAAGAGTGAAATACTTTCATTTGAAGAGGACGAGATATAGTTGCTACGTGGAAAAGAAGAAGGAAGATGATTACGAAATAATGAGAGATTTTCATTGTAATGAGATGAAATGAAACCACCTCTTGAAAAGAAAGTCGAAAATAGAGAGAAGATAATCGAAATAAAGGGAAATAATTTAAAACATTTCGCTTTAAGGAGATGAAAGGGAAAGATAAAGAAACGGAGAAGATAATCAGAAAGGAATTAGAAATTTGGAAAGATGAAAGAATCCCTTCTTGAAGAAAAAAAGGAAAATAAAACATAAAGAAGATAATCAGAAAAGAAATTCCCTCTTTGAAAGAAAAAAGGATGAAAGGTAAAGAAAAGAATCAGGAAAAATTTCCATTTTAAAGAGTTGAAAGAACCACTTCTTGAAAAAAAAAAAGAAAAATCAAAGATAGAGAAAGTAATCAAAAAGGGATTAGAAATTTTCACCTTAAGGAGATGAAAGAACCACTTCTTGAAAAGAAAAAAAAAAAAAAAAGAAATAGAGAAGATAGTCAGAAAAGAAACAGAAATTCTCGCTTTATGAAATGAAATAACCACTTTCTCTTTTTGGAAAAGAGAAAGAGACAACAGGTAAAGAAGGCAATCAGAAGAGAATGAAAAATTTTCATTTCGAGATGATGAAACAACCACCTCGCGAGAGGAAACTAAAAGAGACGAGAAATATAATCGGAAAAGAACGAAAGGCTTCCATTCTCGAAAGATAAAATAATCGTCTAGCGATTATAAATAAATTCTCGGTTCCAGCGTTGTTTCAACCATGTTACGCGACATTTTGAAAAATCAATCCTCGCGCGTTGGGATGACGTTGACGAGCTTCGAATAATATTTCGAGAGGTAACTGGTTGCTTTTTATCGCAGCAACGGCGCGTTGAATATTGTTTTCGAATCGAGTCGCGATGTTTCGATCGAACGACGAATTTTCACAGCCTGTTTGTGATTGCTCTAGGCAGTCTTTTTAAAACTACACAATCACAATCGGAGCATAATTTACACATAGAATAGAATTTTACTGCAGCCTCAATATATTCGAGATCGATACACATAAGTGTTGCGTCGTTTGATATTTCTGCGTAATGATTTAAAACGTGGCGTCGTTCGTTGAGAGTGGTTCAAAACTGTCGTCGATTATCGAAGACGGTGCTTTTAAAATTTTCTGAAATACGTTGAGTATTATTGTCGTGTTTTACGCTGTCATTATTTTGCAAATGACTGTTCCCATCCAACGATTACAACGATCAATATTAATATTTCAATATTTCAAGATGGACATCTACGTTATTATTTTCCCCATTCGATTTCTTCGCTCGTTAAATTCATATTTAATTTCGAAAAAGAATTCACCGTTTATTGCTCGTAGTATTTATAGTTTGTTAGATATTATATTTATAACGGAATATTTATATTTATTACCTGAATATTCTCTAAGGTGAGGGTGCAATATTTATATACAATATTGACTAAAACTTTCGATACTCTTTCATCGCTTTTGTATTTCACGCTCACTTTAATATTCTTCTTAATTCTCGCATATCTTTCCACTATACGTGTTCATTCTCTACGTACAATATATTAGAAAACTCTACCCGTGGTATCAAAATTAAAATAACATTAAAATTACGTAACTGATGTTTCATATATATTATGTATTTCACGCACAGAGCTGGAACACTATCCGGTGTTCTGTTCGAACGTAAATGAAATGAAGTCGGAAGTAGGTCACTTTTCAATCAATTCGTATTGCAAAATAATTCATTAATTAACCAAAAAAAAAAAAGGTCTTGACTTCAAGAAATTCACCAACAAACAGAACATATCGATGCACCGACTCCGAACGCATTTTATATCGTCGCGTTCGCGGTTCATCAAATTCTAATCGACGCATGCAGAGAGAAAGACAGAGACAGAGAGAGAGAGAGAGAGAGAGAGAGAGAGAGAAATGGTAATATTCCTCTCGAGTTATAATTCGCCGATAATTATAGACGATCGAATTCACGCGACTGTTCGGTGGTGTGTCCTATATGTGGACGATGAGAAGCGACATGGTTCTCGTACGTGGATCGTGTTCCCTCTCTCCACGCGTTAATTGGCCACGAAGGCCGTTTAATGTCTCGCGCCGACCGTTCTAGATAAATTCCAGAGGCCCCCTGTGAATGCCTCCGTCGCATCCACGGTGGAAACCTGCAATCACAGGTTAACTGGCAATAAACACGCTCGGAAATCAATGATCGCCAGTTCGTCCCTGTGCCCTCTTCATCGACAACTACTCCCCCTTCTCCTCTCCGGCCCCCGTTCTACTCGGTTTAATGTCGTGTTCCATGGATAATATCGTCGTTAATCATCCGTCGCGACCGCGTCAACGAGTCTGCTCGATCTTCGACGACTAACTCTCGATGGAACTGTTTATTTCCACGATCTCTCTCTCTCTCTGCGAAACGATGTCAAACGACGTGGGTTTCGAGTGGCCTCGCACAGTTCGGAGAGAAAGTTTCAAAATTTCGAAAATTTCATACACATCGAAAAAAGTTGTCCGAGGAATGAGTTGTTAAACCTTTTTCGTTCGTTTGTACGTTTATAGTTTATAATTAGTTTATAGTTTATAGTTAGTTTATAGTTTATAGTTAGTTTATAGTTTATAATTAGTTTATAGTTTATAGTTAATTTATAGTTTATAGTTAGTTTATAGTTTACACGTTCGCGAATAGTTAAACTTCAGTAGAGGGTGATTCATGTAACTTGCACATCTGAAATAACTTTTAAATTACAATGAAAAGTTGTATCGTTTTAAGGGAGGTAAAATAAGGCCGAAAATATAAATTTTCGAGATCATCTTTATCTTTTTTAATCAAACCATATACTTTTTTCATCGTCAAATGTCAATTGAAAGAATGTTAAATTTCGAGTAAAAAAGTATTAAGCCACGTTGGTGCAATTTTTGATAAACTGGATGCTTCAGGTGTGCAAGTTGCGTGAATCACCCTGCATTATGATTTCGAGCGTGTAAATAACGCTAAAATAATTTTTTCTGACTTTTCGGGTCACACACTCGGAATCTGTGTGGATCGTACGATTCAGTTGGATCATCTCGTTGTGAAAGAGGGGAGGTTGGAAAGTTTCAGAGCAACGAAACGGGGTTTCGAAGATTCTGGGGTGAGACGCTTTGGGGTGGAGAATATTTTTGAATGTAGGTTGTCGTGAATTTCGAACAGTTTATTTTATTTCTTGGTGATTCGAGGTGACGTTGAAGAAAGTAAGATTTCACAGATTTTAAATATAGACCTTGAAGTAGGACCTCCACGTCAGTAGTTTCGTAGTCGTTGAATTTATTATTATTTCGAATTATTTTCGATTTTTATTTTCGTAAAAGATATCAACTCGAGAGAATGTTAAGAGAAATAGGTATTGGTTTGAAACATAATTCGCAGTTTTTTGTGCCTCTAAGCTGAATTCTACCGCCGAATTTTACTAAAATTTTTATTTTTAAAATCGATAAGCTTCTATTGATCACTTAAAATTGTAAGTATGCTTCGACGTTGGTGTACCGTTCACCGTGATTAATTTGGAGTGCAGCAGGCAGTCCCAATGTCCCAACTCTAATTTTAACGTTCTCACGGGTTTACGTCATGTCAGTCACTGTTTCAGAGAACAGTTCATGTTTCACGTTAGTTAATTTCCAATTAAAATTTCGAATTTCGAAACTGGTACGTGCAGGCACAAATAAGACAGCTGACAGAAGACGTATAGTACGAATCTATTGTACTTTATATTTTAATGTAAATCAAATGCTCACCCGGATTTTTCAAGTTCCTTCTTGGAAACACAAACGGCGGTGAAAGTATCCTTCAGGAGACACAAGTCCTTCTTCTTGCAGTTCAGTGGACGACAAAGTTCACCTGAAACGATCAAAAAGTCGTTGTTGAGAAAGGAGGTCGATTTTTCTAAATATCATTCATCACTAGCTTATACTTTGTCTGTACATTTATGTGAAATTTAAATATAGAGAATTGATATTAAATACAAGAAATCATTATCACCAATAAAGCACGAGTTATTCAGTTATTTAGTTACTTAATTTATATTTAATTAATTATTTAATTGCATTATATAATAATAATTATTATTATTATGTTATATTATATTCTTAGTTATTTAATTGTCTAATTTATAATTTAAGACAAACACGAATGAATCTACAATTATAAAACGACACGTTGACACGTTCAGTTGAATTTGAAGATTTCATTACGTTAGCTGATTCATTAAAATTCGTTTGTTAAAATTAGAAAATTTTCTTTCCACCATCCATAAACAGCGAAAATAGACGAGAAGAATCTAAATCACGTAAAACGTATTTCTATTTAAATCTTGCCTTTTAATTTCATGCAAAAGAATGATCACATAGATATTTTCAAACAGCTACTCCGACACTTTCCCCTCCCGATGAATTCACCTTGTTACATCAATGTACAACTAAAAAATCGCGAGTGGTTACATAGATCGATCTTTTATTATTACGGCCTCTTAGGTGCAATAAACCAATTTAATTCCCAAGGCTTTCGAGCTTCTGCCATCCTCAACAACACTCTCTCCCCTTTCCGCACCTCTCTTTCCTTTGCTTCCAATCGATTTCAATTCCTCGCGACAACGCGATCGTTTCGTTTCATAGAAAGCTGAGAGATGAAAAGAAAAAGAAAAAAAGGGGGAGGGGGGAAGAAAGAGGAGGAGAAGAAAGAGATCGAAGAAGAACGAAGGACGGTATTCACGGCTATGAATCGTGGTTCGATATTAAAAAGACGGGAAAATTTCTTGTAAACGACGTCGGAGACGCGGATTCACGTTTCGTCGTCAGAATTAAACTATAGCGTTCGCAGTCACGATCGACGACGTGGAAAAATTCTGGTTTGCTTTCCTCTCCTTTTCTCTCTCTCTCTCTCTCTCTCTCTTTCTTCCCTCAGTGCGTCGATATTACACCACTCGGCCTCGTAATCCGCCAGCGTATTGACGTCTTGGAACGCGCGTAGTTTCACCTTATTAAATTTTAAGACCGCTTCCGGCCGAGGAATACCTGATTTCCTCGCGTTTTACGATACTGTTCGCACAAAAGAAAACGGAGGGCGGAGAGGAGGGGTGGGTGGGAGATCTTACGACCGGGATAATGACGATAACGCGACGACGACGACGACGATATTACCCCTTTGTTGATTGTGCGATTTAGAGTTGAGGAAAGATTGGCGACGGAGGAAACTGAAGAGTAAATTAACCCTTTCGAGCAATATTGAGCCGTACTCCTGGCAGAGGAATTCGACTTGAAAGAAAAAGCAAATTACAGTCTCGTGGTGTATGAATTTTCAATTTTCATTCTTGATAAAAAATTAACAATGCTTTCGACCCTTTACGTCTGACGCGATGTAACGTTTTCGATAATAACTGACGTTTGCCGAAGACTTAGAAAAAAATCGTAAGAGAAGGGGATTAATAAGAATTAAGAGAAGAATTAAGGTTTCGAAGGAATCTTGATCTTTGATTTTAGGTTACAAATTTTTCGATCTTTCCAAAATATCTATACCGAGATATACAGTCAAATGTTAGATATGTAAAATAATAAAAGATGGATTAATTAATTTGTTGATCGAAATTAATTGTATTCTATAACATTGATGTCGAGCCGCAGATTGTAACCGATATTCAAAGAAAATATTTAATGAAAGGATTAAAGAGGAAGTTAATGAGAAGAATAATGAGGAAGTTAATGAGGAGAACGAAGGGGGAATTAATTACCAATAATTGCATCATTACATCATTAATATAGATTCGGTGCTGTTTAAATCGAATACTCTCGATGCAGTCGGATAATTAATATTAATATTCAATTTTGTCATTAAGGATTTATTCATTCTTCTCAAGGTTTCCTTAAAATACTTAGAAAAAAGGAAATTGAAAATTGATACGTAATGATATTTAATAACTTTCGAATTATTAAATTGATAAATTAATTGTTGTTAATAAATTGATTGAAAAGAATTACCTCAGAGAAATATTTTTCTAATATTAATTTTGATCAATAAATTAATGCTAACGACAAATATACGATAACAATAGTTAAGTAATAAAGAACAAAGCATTTAGAAAACTTCAGAGAATCTATCAGAAGCTCTACCCAACGAATAAGTTAATATTAATAATAATAAATGAATAATCAAGTAATTCTATAATTTTTCAATTTTTCAACAAGTAATTGCAAAATTTAAAGCTTTCTACCATAGCGACTATCCTTCTTTCTCAATACAGTAACACGAAGCTCATCTTACACAATTCCTTCTTGAATATTGCGAAATAATTATAATAACATGCGAAACAAATACTCCAGACTTCCAAAACGGCAAATCTCTTCCTCGAAATGCGAAACTCGCTGCTTTTCCAGATATTTCCAGCGTCAAAAAATTCCCTAGACGAGAGATCAAGGGAATCTTCATCAGCGAGGAGCCCGAAATCCCCAATTGATCAATTTCGACGGATCAATCGCCGTCTTCTGACTTTCACCGCTGAAAATCAATTTCTCAAAGGCGGAATCCGAGGGGAACCTTCCCCTCTTCACCTAGTTCCTAAAGGATCGAAAATGGATTTGCAAGTCGCGAAAGGGTTACGGTTGATCGAGCTCGTTAAAGTAACCCTATGAAAGAGAGCCAGAGAGAGAGAGAGAGAGAGAAAGAGGGATGAAACTAATTCTGTCGTTGAACGCAAGGAAGCAATCCGGGATTTTCACGAAACGGCGAAATGATTCGTTTCTTTGATGTAACGCGCTGCGGCCGGAGCGTTTCAATGGCCCTGGCGCAATTGCATTCGCGTGGAAATAGTCGACAAGCGATATTGGTCGTTTCACAGAGCATACCGCATCGGTTCGAATTCCTCTCTTCTCCATTAACCCCGTGGAACCGTGGGGTTTGGCCATGGCCATCGCGTCGGTGCATCTGCCACCTCCCCTGCCCCGCGGGATCGCCATTACCTTTTCACCTGTGAAACCGATAAGGATTTGTCCTGACGTTCTCTCCTGATTTCCCCTGCAATTCGTCGACTGTTTCTGGCTCGATCGCCAGATCCCAACGACGTCGTTAGTATATTCGGGAAAAATTGTATGTAACTGAACGAACGGTTGAACTGACAGTCAGACCGTGATTTTATCATACTTTTCTCTTTTTCTCTCTCTCTCTTTTTTTTTTTTGCCCCCTTTCTCTTCGCCCTTTTGAGCGATGGTCTTTGAAACTTTGATCGATGGTTTTTTTACGCGCGATTATTGGATCTGGGTTCTTTTTTTTTTTTTTTTTTTTTCTTGTCGACGGTTTAAGTAGCTCGGATTTGAAGTTTTTTGTAGTGGTAATTGATGGATGGAGGACTCCTTACTTCCTGATTGATAGTTTCAGGAATTTATATTGATCGATCGGTCGGATGTACGAAATTTTGATGGTTCGCTAATTCTTGGGCTTGGATTTTGGTAATAAAATCTTTGGACTTCTTTTTTGTTCGTTCGATAAATTAGTGTGATATAGAAATAGAAAATTGCGATTTAATTGACGGTAGGTAAAACAAATTTAAATCTTCCGATATTTCCTTTTTCTCTTTAATCAATGTGTTGCTAGATTATTTAAATTATTCGATAGTTGTTCTATTCTTTTAATCTTTTTAGATCTCTTTACGAAGATCGATACAGCAAATGTTGGTAATGAACGATACTGTTTGATAGAAAGATATTGCTGTCTGTTAATTTATTTTACGAAATTTCTATGGTGACTCGTTTGGTAGAAAGATGTTCCTATCTGTTAATTCGTTTTGTTTATTCAACCGCGTAGAAATTTATTTCTATTGTTTCTGTATTTATAGTCGGCTTTTCTCGGTAATTGTCTGTTTATATATGGACCTGTAGCTTGTATACGTCTATCAGTTATTTAGTTTTATTACATCGCATCACCAGATTTATTAAAAATTTCTACATTAAAAATTTTAAGTGATTTAACCCACTAAATAATTTAAATTTCATTTACTAAGATTATTAGTTAATTATAATTATTTGCTCCAATTTAAAATCGGGCAACTAATTAAATATAATAATTGTTACTAATTCATTTGATATTTTCGTAATTAAGTGATTGACAAAATATAAGAATAAAAGTATGATTGTGTAATTTTCAAATTACAGAGTGTTACAACCAGTTAAAAAATTATTTGAGAATCAATAAAAAAGAAATTATTATATTTGTCTGATCATATACTCTCCAGCTTCCCTGATTCAACCACGAATTGTGGTGTATTACTTATCACAATGGTAACAGTTTGTAGTTGCAAATAAAAATTTATTTTTATATTTTTCTAGTCGAGCATTCACTGTATAATATAAGAGCGAAATATAATACGTAATTTCCAAGTTACGCGACGTTACATAGAGTTAAAAACCAATAAGGAAAATTATTATACAGAACGTGGTGATTTAATTTCTGATCATGTACTGTCCAATTTCACTGATTCAACTACGTGTCGTTCTTGTTCTACTTGCCAGACAAAGAACAGCTTCGTTCCATTTCACTGCATAAGGTCTAGTTCCAGATATGCGGATATGTGTACGATCGTTCTACTTGTCTGCCTATGTACAGGTCTATTTCACTTCGCTAGGATGGCCTCTCGTCGCTTTTACGCGGACTGTTGTACTTAATGTAACCTCGATGAATTCACGGATACTCACATTTTAAATATAACGACGATCTCGTTGATTTGAGTGCATTTTACTTCCATCGAGAAATTATGTCGCCGTGTTTTTCAACTAATGACGCATCAACCCATTTCGCGAGAGCTTTCTCCAACCGTTTAACGAAAAACAGTACTGTTTAATTACGTCGATCATTGATGCCTTGACAACTGTTAGACTGCGAATTTTTACGCAACTTAGAGACAGAACAAAATTCTTTTTTCACTTGTACTCTCGACGTTTCATACTTTATAGTTTTATATTTATAGTTTTATATGTTGGGAAGTTCAGTGTAAAAGTATTTAAATTAGACACAGAACATTACGATTTGTTCGTTTGTTAGTTCAACTTTCGTTCGATTCCCAAAAATGAATGAATTTCCATATTCTTGATAGATGGCTGTAGTCTAATTACAATTAATAATAAAATAATAATAAAATAAATATAAATGCATAAAAATGTAATAATACTATACAATAATTTTACAATTAAATATTGATGGTATTCAATCCGCTGGTACAATGAAAATCCGCCATCTAATAATTTCAAAATATTTCTCAACTTAAATTTTCAACATATACGATGTAAATATATAATTTACATCGACATACGAACTCCGTTAAAAAGAAAAAAAGGAACGAATGCTGAAAATAGATTCAACTTCCAGACAAACGCATAATCCAGTAATTCCAGAATAATTCGATAAGAATTCTCGCCCAAAATAACTCCAATTCCAAGTATAAAAGCTATGCGTGATCCCCGAAAAAAATGTATCGCGAGCGAGCACCATGCAGCGAGACTGGCGAGAAACCGTGCCAGAGGATCCATTACGCGTCTAATTAAAAGTTCGCTGCCACGGTGTTCAAACTCTCGGCGTAATATCCCGTTCGGAGGCGGGATTAAAGTCACTGCTTGGCTACGAATTAAGGAGGCCTCTCTCGGCACGATTTCTCCTTAAAAGGCTTAGAGAAGGCGGTGTACACAGGTTTGGAAAAAAAAGAGCCGATCGCTCAAAGGGCCTCGGTATCGAAACCTTCTTCCTCGACTCTTCCGCGCTGCAAAGCCAACCTTTTCGCAAATGGAACGCCGCGAGAAAAGAGGCTCGGTACTCGGAGGAACGGTGTAATTGCGGCAAATGGAGATTGGAGTGCCACGGTCGAAGGTATTTTGTGAAATTTACGAGAACAAAGGTGACTGACAGAACGATGTTCTTCCTGTACGAACGATACTGGAGATTTCTTTTTTTTTTCATAATGAAGATGATCTTTCGGACTTTTTAATTGTTCTAGCAGGCGAGAGAGAATTAATCCACTCGATGGCTGAAGGGAGAAGGATCACCTGAATGTAATAACAAGTATGATAACAGTGTTTGAATAGTCTAAGAAGCTAAGAAAATTCGACGTAGAAATTATTGTTAATTATTACGAAATCATTCGAGGGTTAAATTAGTGTTGGACTCTGGGCAATTAAAATAGGTAGTTCGAAAAATTGTTTGGCAGACAGAGGGATATCTAGAGATTTATTTCATGTAGCTTGTCTGCAATCAATGAGACGCAAAATGCACGACACGTATTGGAATTAATGAGAATATAAAATTGAACGACAAAGTGTCAGTTTTACATTTTACATTACAGGAAGAAAAATGATGTGCAATAATTCCAATAATTTGAAACTGACAGCGAGAGTCGTGCATTATTGAATTATTGCTCGAATCGAACGCATTTTTATTTTTTTCAAATGTTTAACTAAAGATTCAATACATTCATTCGAATCTATTTAAAGATTAAATATAATAATTTATATTTAGTTTGACGTATTGCACGAAATAATTTAAAAACGTTGGCTTTATATTACACGAGAGAGATGGGGCGAGCGAATAAAAAATACCAGCATATTTCATGCAGGCATTATGCTTTATCCTTATATTTTGTCCAAGCGTAGCTCTGAAATAATACCACTGTTTTTATACGATTAAATTCCACTGTCTCATATTCATTTAAATTACGCTAGACATTTTTATTTCTTTCTCCAAACTGCGTTATTGCTTCTCCAATTTTTCTCTGTGCAAGTGACACACTTGTTTCATTACCCTCTTTTAAATTCGTTTTCAAAAGAAAAAGAGAGAAAAAAAACCCGCTTCGCACGATTTTCAATGAAACTTCTAATTAATTCCATTATACTCTTCGTAAAGCTGTCTATAATCAGAAATTAATTTCGAATTTATTCCAATTTCACGCCTTTCACGAAAATTCGATTCCAACAATTATGAAAAGGCGCCAACGCATTTGTCGGGTTATTTTTTTTCGATCCACTTGCGTCCATCGAACTTCTCCTTATTGACATATAAAAATCGAAAGATCGCAGCAGCGATGATTGGAAAAATTTCGGACTTTTGTTAAAAAAGGAAGCACGAATTGTTGGATATTCGTGGGACATTTGTAACGGTAGATTTACGCAAGATTCGTTGGTGTTTCGAGGGAATTGACAAGACCGGCGGACGGTAATCCGTTGGCCGGAAGTTTGCGTGTCCCTTCGAAGAAGGCGGAAGACAATGATGCGAGCCGACAGTTTCCGCGCGGGGCTTCGCGCCGAGTGAATTGGATACAACGTCGCTTCGACGATTCCTACGGACGTTTGCTTTCTGACAGACATCACGGGCTGTCTCTTCCATCGTGGGCTTAACGCGTTCGGTCAGTGAAACAGCGAACGGGCAACATCGAAATTTAATAAGGTTTCTTCCTTACTTTGTTACTAATTATTCATAATTCGGAACGAATTACTGTTGGAACCTCGTATTCGTTCGATCAATTTGTTCGCAGTCGAGTCACAAAAAAAAAAAGATCATTGTTACCGCGTCATTCAATTTTTGTGACCAACTTATATTTTGTAACTTTGCTCGACAGCCTGACAATATAGAATTATAATGAATTGTAATAGATTTTATATTAACTTTTTTTACAATTTTTTTTTTATGTTTGACAAAGCATCGTTAGAAACGGAACGGTGTAAAAATGTAAAACAGAGACGCTGTTTCTCAGTAGAAACGTTTTGTAAAAATAAAATATCAGTGGGAAAAGCCGAAATATTCAATCGTGAAAAATGTTTAGAGTAAGACTATTAAAAATCGGTAGGTACTAAAAAGGATAAACCTCGAAGTTGAAAATTCCAAGAAAGTCTATATAATTCTGATAAATCCTACGTATTTCTTTTATTTCAACTATTCTGGGACTTTCAGAATTAAATATTTTAATATTAGGCGGTATAATAATGTTACACTGAATTTTATATCAGCCTTGAAATTGAAGATTTCAAGAAATTCAATACATAATATGTCAAGTGACTTTCTAAAATCCACAGAAAAGTCTCTTTAAATTTAATTTATCCATTTACAACCGTTAATAATTTTCGTCATGTTAGATATAAAATTAACTATTATAAAATTAGTCTAAATTAACTAATATCGATGCTAATATTACAGTATACGATACAACACTAGTATCACAACGTAGTTCATATTATAAAGTTCTTGATATTATAAAGAATGTCAATTAATAAATAATTATTATAATTGTATTATAAATATTATTATTATAATTTAATTTTATAAATATTAAATTATATTATTAAAGATTCCAAGAGATTCTACGAATCCTGAATCCGCCCGTCACAAGACGTTTTCTCCTCTTCATCAATCATTGCTGTGGCTCTCCGCGTATTCGCAGAACCCACGGTTCAGCCGAAATCCAAACGAGATAGAGAACTTAACAGCTTCCTGTCCACGGAAGTAATTACATCGATGCTTGTAATATGCTAATCGGGGCGAGTTCTCGTGGGACGGTGTTTGAAGTTCCTTAAGTCGGCCGACAATGGACCGTGGCGAGAATCTCGCGCGCGCGAAGAAACTTTCGAAACAAAAATCGGCCCGGTGGAATTGTTCCAAGCGAATTAGCCCACTCTCGTTTGAGTAAGCTGTCTCTCTGCAATTATAATGTGTTCTACTCTAACATCTGATGTTCTCTCTTTCTTTTTAAATATAAGTTTACTTCTCTCTCTCTCTTTGGCGTTTTAACAGCAGAATTATTGACGATCAAAGTACAAAAGTATCAGAGGAATTCAATTCTTAAATTTTAAATTAAGAAATTTCTATCAAGTTTCTAACGCGAAGAACAGAAGCGTTCGTTTGTACATTTGATGAAAAATCATGAAAATCCCTGGTACCGTGCAACGTTGTAAAAGGTTTTCACAAAAGAAGTCACAAATTGCTCGTTTTGATCACACTGATCGTAGTTTCAGCGAAATTTATGACCGTCGGCGGCGTTTATCGATACGTAACATTATTGAAATAAAGTCGATCGTATTTTATTTCAGGAAGACGGAGGAATTTCATCTATTGGAGCGTGATTATTTTATGGCCACGATATTCGATATTTTATAAGATACTTGGTACTCGGTCGGCGTTTCTGAAATAATTTCGTTGCTTCGCTGTTGGCTGTTATTATTAACAGAAATATACGATGCACAAAGTATAATTTATTTGTTCTCTTCTTTTTTTTATTCTTTGATAATAAACAGCCACTTATGAACTGTATCGAAAATTATTACAATAACTTTAAACCATAAAATAATAATAAACTAGTTCTCTCGATCATCTTGAACATTTTATTTCAATAGAAATGACTGCTTATAAACTGTACGAAGATTTTTGTGTTCTTATTAATAAAGTCGCAGTTCTTATTAATAACTGTATCATTTTCACAATGATAAATTCATGACTACACATAATCAGTATTTCTAATATTAGAGTTAAGGATTTTCAACCATGTCGTTCTCAATTTCGACAAATTACAACACTTTTACAGTCGTTACATAATATCATAATCATTATGATTCCACGTTACATGCGACTCAATATATAGACTCTCATCTGTGTCATTTTTCTAAACATCGTTTAGGCGCGTGTAACCATTTTCAAACAAAACGAAAGTCCCATAACTCCCCATGAAAAACCGAAACGTCAAATTTCCCGCCACGTGGATCGTCCCTCCGACGGAATGGAAATCGTTTTAAGAACAATTTCAACCGAGCATCGGAGTCTCGTTAACGTCAAGGTCAGTCACGTAAAAAAATTAACGATCGCGGTGAACGCGCGCGTTTACTCACCCCCGCGGCGTAATAGCTTCAAGAACCCATTAACCCCATAAATTATCCGTCTATCTTATTCCCTTCGATTGTACAGCGATCTCTCTCTCTCCCTCTCACTCTCTCTCTCTGAATTCTATCTCTTGGCCCTTCGAAATCGCATTACGTTATCGATTACAGCGTATATTACGCTATTGACAATTACGGAGGGGCACAATGCGGCCAAAATGGGCCAGACTTCTGCGTGAATTAGACGTCGCGGAGATAGTACGCCACCGTGCCGATCGATCATGCATTTTGCCCGGCGAATGATCGACGATGCTAATGGCCAAGATGGTCGTAATGGATAAGCTGTAAACGATAATGCGCGGTTCCGTTTCATCGTAGGAGTCGCCCCTTCGAATCGATGACCCGTTACAGCAATCCCTACTTAAGCGTCCGTTACCAATTCTTGTAATTGGGACTGTCTCATTGTACGCTATCATATTTCACGCGACGTGTTCAAAATTGTGTGAAACATAACATAAGTTGTTGTACGGTACAAAGCGAATGATCCAGTTAACCTCTTGCGCTAGTAACTGGTTCGCGGACCATAACGAGTGACCAAACCCAGTAAACAATAATTCGTCTCCTTTTTGAATTCATCGGTATATCATTGGATAGAAATTACTAATAAATTTATCATTTGTTTTGCCTGGGCCGTATTTTAATATACTTAACCCTTGCCACGCACGTCGAGAGCTTTTTCTCCCGAAATTGTAATATTTTCATGTCAGTTTTAAGCATATTCAGGTAAAACAAAACAGGGAAAACAAATGATAAATTTATTATTTCTCAATCATTTCTATCCAGTATAGATATCATACCGACGCGTTCAAAAGGAAAAGAAAGCGACGAATTATTGTATACGGTTTTGGTCACTTGTTGTGGTCCGCAATCAGTTGCCAGCGCATCGTGGTTAATGGAATGCAGAGGTGGAAACACAAACATGCACGAAGCTGCAACATTCTTTGCAATATTTTAATAAATAGTATTTCTTATTTTTATTTAGAAAAGCGTTTGAGTTTGTACGAACGTTCGAAATTTAGTGTTTCGATTGTAAAATTAAAATCCTCGAAAAAGCGACGAATTATCGTATACGGTTTCGATCACTCGTTATGGTCCGCAATCAGTTGCCAGCGCAACGTGATTAAAACTGAGAAAATATTGCAATTTTGGGCCAAATATTTTCGACGTGCATGGCAAGAGGTTAAGCGTCGACAGTTTGGGACCGAATGCTTAAGTGAAGATATACTATACTATAGTTCACCAACGACGTTTGTCGTTTATTAGGAGAAAGCTGAAATCGGAAAAATGTTTCGTGATATTTGGTTAATGGAAGAGAAAGGGATTCGACGAGACGTTAACCTATTTGCATGACGATTGAAATTATACACCGGACCGGTACATATTACCAGAGGTTAGCGGACCGCGAAGGTTTACGCGGCTGCATATTTTTATGAAGATTTTCTGATTTGAATTTCCAATGCGGGTCGTCTGTTCTCTCGTAGCAGCTTCTCTTCAGGAAGTTGTATTATTCTTACGAGCGCCTCTGTAACGTTGCTCGTTAGGCACGAGTCTAATTTTTCGATGTTCGTTTAGTCTTTCCTCGGTCACGTCTGTCTCTCGATTGTATAATCATTGTAATAGAAGAATGAACGAACTGTCGATTATTCGAATTTGGCAAATTTTGACTTTGAGTTTTAATTCATTGTCTGATTATTTTCACACGACGTCAAAACGACGAGTTTATAATTTTTGTTAGAAATTTTATAGATGAAAAACAGTGTATTTTTTTTAGCGATTTTTCGTAAAATGCATAAATAAAAGCTTGTGTACTCCATTATGTATAATAAAGCTGTCCTAATTTCTTTTACTTTAACGTTTCTGATGGAAATCTTATGCTTTAATTGTCGGTCATTCTGGAGTTAAATTATACAAATTAACAATAACTTTTGAATAGTAATATAATTATGAAATTTATTTTTATTTACAATTCCAGTAATTATCCGAAAAACCTGACCTAAACTTAAACCGCTTGTTTGAACTGACCTTGTGATACGTGATCATTACAATAGAAGACTGAACAAAACATTGTTTGATTATTTCAAATTTTGGCTTGAAGCTTTAATATAATACGTCGATGATAGTTTTCATACTTATTTTTCTTCCAAATCACACAAATTAGATTTAATAATAACTTTCGTAGTTTTGTGGCTACATATACAATTACGAAATTTATTTTCATTTCATAATTCCAGATCGATTATCCGAAAAAAGCCCGTCGCTGTCCGTGCGGACTCGTCCTCCCAATTAGTTCGGATAATCGACATTGCTCCACATGTATAAAATCACATGCATAGCAAACGATCGACGATTGAGATTTCAAGCAAGATAATCACGCAACCGAATCTCATAGGTGGTTATTGCCGCGTAATACATAATTAGCTGTCCGTAAGGTCTGCGATCCTATAATAAGATCGTATTATCATCTCGTTGTCACGTTCAATTACATCTGGTAGTACAAGTAGATACCGCTATACTCCACGTGACTGAGGGCTCTCGTACCAGATGTAAGACGAATACGTATTACCAATATAACTGGCCGTGAGTAATACTGATTAAGCATCGACCGATAAAGACATAAATAACGTGCAGTGTCGCGTCGCGCGTTAAAGTTAATCACGGTTCACCATGGGACAACGTAACGATGGTAATGGTAATTTATAACGGTCGGTTCGTTGCGGCTCCTTGGCAATTCTGGGAATGCCGTGATGATTTAAGAGGTGAAATTTACGAGCCGGTTGCGCACTCGAATATCGCGAGGAATGCTGTTTTAATCTGTTGAAGAAGGGTGGAGAGATCGGTCAGGCGATATCGAGACGCTTTTCGAATTTAGAGAAATTTCATGCTCAACCGTGGATGCAGCAATAGCGTTTAATAATTTGTGTTTGGAATATTTTTAAAGGCGGTGGTAAATTTATAATCTGTTTGAAGTTCGTTAGGATATAATTTAAGGGAAATTTTGCGCTCAACTACGATGTGTTTAT